ATATAAATGTTAACTCAGATTCCATAAGAGAGGGGACATAGACTTCTAGTATACAAGTTCCTTTTGTATACAAAAAGGAGGTCTTAATATAACTATATTTATGCATATATGTGTTCTATAGCAAGAAGTATCAATTCATTTACATTTGCCAGGAAGGTCAACACTCAAAATTACAGAAATTCTAAGTAATAAACATATAGTCAGTCAGTCAGTCAAGAAGGATTCATTAAGCGTCTACTATGTGCCAGGCATGGTACTGGGGATCCAAAAGGCAGCATATGCCAAAATATAGGACTGATGCTTGGAATGGATGGGACAATGATAAATGACAACAGGAAAGCAGTCCAATTTGCACGATTCTTGTTTTTCTGTCTATCACACAAGTGCCCTCTGTATTGGAAATGACAGAATGAAAAATGGCCAACAGTAAGGTGATACCCAAGAAAAGTAAAGAGCTAGTAAGAACATCTGGTTGCTGTGGATGGATTCAAGTCACCTGGTCAAGATAAACTACACTCTCAAGTATTTAAAGAACTGACAGATGTTATTACTAAATCACTCTTAGTGACATTCAAAACATAATGGTAAAAAGATATGGGCCAATATCCCAATTTTCAAAAAAGGGAAGAATATTATGTCTGCCAACTGTAGGCTAGTGAATTTGACTTCAATTCCTGGGAAAACTGTAGAACAGAGAAGGTTAGTAAATATCTTGAAAAGGAAGCACTGATTACAAAGAGCTTGCATGGTTTCATTAAGAAAGGTTATGTTTCTTCTTTTGATAGGGTTTCTAAATTGGTAGATCATTTGAGTCTCTATGGTTCAAAGGATAGATAACTTTTTTTTACTGGATATTATGTAGGGAGGATTCTTTATTCAATTATGGGTTGGATTAGATCAGCTGTATCATATTCAACTAGAAATGGATCCCTGTGGGCTACACACTGACTTAAAAAACCCACAAAATGACATTATCTGTGTTGTATTGTATTTTTATTTGTTCTATTAAACATTTCCCAATTATATTTTAATCTGTTTCTGGTCCCACAGGGATTCAAGTGACCTGGACACCAGAGGCCTCAATGGCCTCTGAGTTCTCTCCAATTCTGAGATTCTCTGAGTCTGTAACCGTGATGACACTAAGGATGAAAAGATTTATTTCTCAGGGCAGCTAGGTGATGCAATGGATAGAGCTCCAGCCTTGGAGTCAGGAGGACCTCAGTTCAAATGTGACCTCAGACACTTGACACTTACTAGCTGTGTGACCTTGGGCAAGTCACTTAACCCCATTGCCTCACCCAAAAAGCAAAAAACAAAAAAAGGCATTTCTCATTGCCTCCTAAACTTTGCCCTGGGGGCAGGTCATCAAGAGAGGGAGATGACCCCTCTAGAGTAACCTTCCCAAATACCTTTCCTTCAATTTTTTACCTCAGTTACTATAGAAATGAGGGCATGTGCCGGTCCAGGCTCCTAGAACAGTATTCACCTACCAGTGATTTTAGTAAGTCTTGCCACACATGGCTTCCTTAGAAGAACGCAAGGCTCTTTGTCTGGGAAATTTCAGAGTAGCTGCCTGATACAGAAACCAACCCTTGGATTTTCTTTATCTTAGATCTCAGCTGTACTAATTTTGCCTATAACTAAGCCCCACAAGTGGGAAAAAAATCTAAAAAAGAAAAAAGATAACTTAAAGCAGATTTGGAAAAAACTGGAAAAATATATGTACAGAGTCTTCTTATCTGGGTGGTTTGACCCTGTGATTTCATCAGTGTGAGGAACTCCCAGTGTGGAAACTCCCTCCACTGGTACAGATCAGCAACCTTTTATAACTTGAGTCTTAAAGAACTGTTCACTTGAACCCAGATTTTCTTGACTTCTGATCAGCCCCTCTATTGTTCATGCCACTATGCCTCTCATAGAGAGTTTGGAAGTTGAGAAAGGTGACTATGAAATGGGGTAGACCTTTGAACATGTAGAAAATCTACTACGGCTAAGAGCTGAATGTATTCTTTCTCCCTCTCCTGTGTTCTCCCAAATAAAGGTACAGCAAAAAGAAGCTGCCACTTCTAAAATGCAGCAAGGTCCAATCCTAAAAGCTTTAGATTCCAGACCATCATTTAAAAGTAATCTAAATGACAACAGAAACTTTCTATATCTTACAGCTGAGCAACAACACAGGCAATCAGGCATTTCCTTCATTAAAAACAAATAAAAGTAAGTTTTACTGATGTGTTTTATCTTTACATCAGTGATTTTAGCCCCCACCCCCAAAACGAACCCCCTCCGTAACAGAAATAATTAAGCAAAAATATCCAATATATAAATCTTGTCTAACAAAATACACATGTATATATATGTATGTATGTATGTGTGTGTGTGCTTATATACACACAGGCACACACACACAGACACATACACAATTTTCTGCCCTAGTAGTGAGCCCCTCTCTGTCATGAGAGAGAAGGTATATTTTATTACTTCTTCTTTAGGACTTTTAGTTGGTTTTCCTTTACTCAGCATTCAATTAATTGATCAAAAGATCAATTTTACTATCTTTCCCTTATACTGTTGCAGTCATTGGTTCTGCTTATTTTGCTCTGCATTAGTGTGTACAAATCTTTCCACGTTTCTCTGATTTCCCCATATGCATCACACCTTACCACAGAATAACATTCCATTATAGTTATATATGATAGTTTTTTCAGTCAGTCTCCAATCAGTGGATGAAACTTTGTTTCATTACTTTGCTACTACAAAGACAGCTGTTATGAATATTTCGGTATAGTAAACCTCTGTTTGCGTCTTATTCTTTCTTGCTGTATATGGCCAATGGTAGATCGGCAGGGTCAAATATCATGGTGTAACTTTTCTTGCACAACTTCAAATATAGACACAAAATGGTTGGGACACACCACAGCTCCACCAACGTGTTCCCAAAGCCCCTTTATCCTTGATGTTTTATCTTTCATCCTCTTTGCCAATTTGCAGGGTGTGAGGAGAAACCTCAGAATTGTTTTTCTTTGTATTTCTTTTATTATTAATGATTTGGAGTATGCTTTCTTTCATGTAGTAATTTAGTGTTTGCACTTGTAAAATTACTTGTCCAGACCTTTTGACCACTTAGCTAGTGTGCAATGGCTCTTGGTGTCCATTTTTTGTCTTAATATATTCCCATCAAAAAGCCAGTGTATCAAAGTCTTTCCCTCACTCAGGATGGGACTGCTGCCTCCTTTCTATTCAAAGATATGAGCAAGGAAGTGAATCAAATCCAACAACAGCACTTGGCATGTCATCCACTAAAATTCAGCCAACAAGCACTGACCAAGTGCCTTTGTGCCACACACTGGGAACAGAGACAAAAATGAAAAAGGCCTTGTACTCTAGGAGCTCAGTCTATTGTGGGGAAATGGCATGTACACATATAAGTTGCAATCTGTGGGTGGGGCTAACAATGGGAGGAATCAGGAAATGCTTCATGTAGGAGTACATCTGAAGTAAGCTTTGGAGGAAGTTTGAGATTCTAATAAGTGGAGAAGAGGAGGGAATGCATTCCAGGAATGGGGCTGAGACTGTATGCGAAAGTGAGAAGAAAGGAGATGGAATGCTGTGTTTTAAAAAGGACCTCAAACAGGTCAGTATGGCTGAATGTAGAGTTTATAAAGTGAATATACAATTAGACTAAAAGGGTAGATGCAATCAGCTGATGCAGGGCTTTAAATGCCTAACAGAGGACTTTATGTTTTACCTGGGATGCAATGGGGATGCTTCTTGAGCATGAGAGTAACAAGGTCAGATCTATGCTTTAGAAGCTTCCATTTACAACTCAAAATCTTATGGAAGTGAATGTTGAAAACTAAAAATTAATTAATTAAAAAAATAATTACACACGGTGAGAAAAACAGTGTACACAGTAATAGCAACATTGGGCGATGATCAACTTTGATAGACTTAGCTCTTCTCAGCAATACAATAATCTAAGACAATTCCAAAAGACTCATTATGGAAAATGCTATCCACATCCAGTGAAACAATTATGGAGTCTGAATTCAGACTGAAGCAAACTATTTTCATTTTTTTTTCTTTCTCATGGTTTTCCCCTTTGGTTCTGATTCTTTCCAACATGACTAATGTGGAAATATATTTAATATGATTGTACATATATGGCCTATATCAGGTTGCACGCTATTTTAGGGAAGGAGGAGGGGCAGAAAATTCAAAACTCAAAATCTTATAAAAATAAATGTTGAAAACCAAAAATAAATATTTAAAAAAAAGAAAAAAAGAAGCTTCAGGGGCAGCTAGATGGCACAGTGGATAGAGCTCTGGACTTGGAGTAAGGAGGACCTAAGTTTAAATCCAATCTCAGACCGGATACTTGACACTTACTAGCTGTGTGACCCTAGGCAAGTCACTTAACCCCAATTGCCTCGTCAAAAAAAAAAAAAAAGAAAAGAAAAAGAAAAACAGTAGATCTAGAAAATAGATCAAAAAGAAAAAACATAAGAATCATACTACTTGAAAGCTATGATTAAAAAAAAAGAATCCTGATATAATAATACAAGAAATAATTTTTTAAAAAAAGCTTCCATTTACAATACCCTATTTGAAACTAAGTATTACCATATGGAAAATTTCTAAACAATAACTATTTGATACCATGTCTGAAATATGAGTACTCTGGTGTACATAAACCCAGAATAAGCACTGCCATAACCTGATCTCTAAATATGCAGCAGGAGTCAGGAATCAGAAATCAGCTAGCTCCATGTTAAATCTATAACTGAACTGGATGACCTTAGCCCTATCACCTCGGAGAATAGGAGAATTCTTCCAAAGGGAAATTAAAATAGGCTAGCAAAGGTGGATACCCAGGCTCTTATCAGTAAGATCACAATCTGGGCAAAAAAGAGCAAGGAATGGATTGGATCTGTGAAATGATAAGGCAAATAGGGTCCATTCCATTATCACTTCATGCTTCCTGGAAACAAGTGGTTGGTTACCTTGGTCTTCCAGCTGCACTTTCACAGATGAGTTTTCAGTTGTTTTTTCTCTAGCTGTTGCTTCTTCTTCTTGTGACCATTCCATGTGGTCCCTGTAGAAAGATACACACAGAACACAATGGGGGGGGAGCACTGTGGGGGTGTTTATAGAACCTTTTATTCTAGTTTCTTGAAAAAATGAACTACATTGTTTATTCTCATGTCAAATGAATACATTTTGGTGCAAGATGTTCCTTCTGACAGTCCTAGTACATTCTGAAACTCCTACAATTCTTCTGTTTTTCATTTCTTGCTTTATTCCCAGAACCAACAGCCTCTAATAGCTCCCTGCTACTGTAATGTCCTACTCAACCCCCTGGCATCTGAGCAGGATTACCCATGTGGTTTCTTGTTTTCTACTTTAATCTGAATTTATTTGCCTTTTTGTTCATTTCTACTCAGGACATTCTATTCTGTAATAGTTTCCCTTGCTCCTTTTCCCTGTGTTCTAAACTCAGCTGCCAATGTGATAAGAGTCTTCAAAAAAAATTTGCATTCAAGAAATTTTTGATAGCCTATGTTTGTCTCTACTGCCTTATTTTTCCATAAACTGATTCATTTAGATGCAAATGATAGACTGCATGACATGACAAAAGAAAATGTGTCACCTTTATAAGGAAATGAATTTTCCTAGAGGTATTTTTAGCTACAGAATTTGCTATTCCAGTATGGGGAGGTATTATTTTCCTGTTTTCTTATTGCAAAGATTTTTACTTTTTTAGAATAAGAGAAAAGGTTTTATATGAAAAGGTTTTATTAAATATGTATATTCTCCTTTGCACAGGTAGGATTAGAAATGAATGAAGAAATCGCCTAGAATGAACCATCTGAGGTCGCTTCCAGCTTTAAGCTTAAAATCCTATGGTTCTTCTGAATAATAAAACGTTTTTTCAGAACAATAAAAAGCATAAAAGTTGAGAATTTAAAATCCACTCAGTTTATGGGTAACCGGTGAATGGTAACCAAGTAGGAACCAACAAATCCCAGAGTTAATGCCAAACTGACACTCTAAGCTGGCTGATTAATGAGAAACAGGTAAACACACTGGTTGTCTAGGTGCAACGTCACATTATCAACAAACAGTTATTTATTGAGCAGCTGCTGTGTGCAGGTCGGTCTCATGTCCTAGGTGAAAAACCTGTATTACACATGAACCCTGACGTACAAAGGCTTGTATTCTGTTGGGAAGAGAAAAACCATGTATAAGAGATGAACAATACAATACAGGATATGCTAAATGCTAATAAGTGACAGAGATAATAATTATTCTAGAAGTTGGAAGGAAGGAATGCTTATTAAGTATTGGAGGGGCCAAAAAGACTTCATGTACCAAGCAATACCAGAGCAGAAGCCAGGAAGACAGGTGGGGGATAATCTATGTGGTAGATGATATTAAAAAAAAATTTTTTTTTTGCAAAAACAAATATAATGCAATGCTAAAGGGCTCCCTGAACTTGTCTTCTTAAGCTGCTATATTTTCCAGAAACACTGGACCTGGAGTATGCTGGAGGCCCTAAAAGTGTCAAAGATGAAGCAAACCCCCCACCCATTTTTTCTGGTTAACAGGATAAAAATTTAGAACACAAATAGGTAACACGGGACAAATCTTTAGAACAAGTTTCTCCAATAAAAGTTTCATTTCTAAGACATACCAGTAACTGATTCAAATTGATAAGACTAAAAGCCATTCCCTAACATATAAATGGTCAAAGGATATGAATAGGCAGTTTTTAAAGAAGACATCTAAGCTATCAGTAATCACATGAAAAAATACTCTAAATCATTAATAATTACAGAAATGCAAATTAAATTAACTGTAAGGTTACTTTAAATCTCAAATCTATCAGACAGGCAAAGATGACAAAAGAGGAAAATGGCAAACACTGGAGGAGCTGTGGGAAAACAGCACACTGCTGACTAAGCTATGAATTAGTCCAGGAATTCTGGAAAGCAATTTGGAAAGATGCCCAGAAATTTATCAAACTGTGCATACCCTTTGACCGAGCTACACTGCGACTAGGTCTATTCCCCAAAGAAATTTGAGAATTAGGAAAAGGTTCTATACATCCAAAGATATTATAGTAATTCTTTTCACTGCAGCAAAAAAAAAAAAAAAAAAAAAAAAAAAAAAAAAAAAAAAGAAATGATTGCCTATGGGAAAAAAAAAAAAAAAAAAAAAAAAAAAAAAGGAAATTAAGGGACTGATTGCCTATGGGGAATGACTAAAGAAACTGTGGTAAATGAATATAATCGACTATTGCTGTGCTATAACAGATGATGAAATGTACAACTTCAAAGGAAAATGGGAAGACCTTTACAAACTGATGCAGAGCAAAGTGACAGCACTAGAACAATTTGTAATGATAACATTTTAAAGGGAAAAAACTTTGAAAGATTTTATAATTCTGTGGAAGATTTTATAATTCTGATCAGCACAATGATAAACTTTTATCAGCACAATGATAAACTTCTTTCAAATGAATGTGAACCACGCCACCCACCTCCTGACAAAGAAGAGATGAATTTAAAATGCAAAAAGCAAAATTCATTTTCAGACATAGCTAATGTGGGAATATGTTTTGCAGGATGTTACTATATAGGTAAGTATTGAGGGATTGATCAGTTAAATTAGGGTTGAGGTTAATGGAAGGAACTTGATTTTTAAAAATACTTGGTATTTGAAAATAAAAATAATAATTTTCTAAAAGAAAAAAATGTGGGAGGAGTCAGGTTAGAGGGTGTGAGAACCTATATGATTAGAATGATGATGGTTCCAATAATAGGAAATTGGGAAGATAGGAGGTTTGAGGAGAGGGAATTTCTTCAAAAAAGAGAGAAAGAATTACGCAGTGCCCACAGGAAATAAAAAAGAGATCCATTTGGCTGAAGCAGAGGGATTCCAGGAGAACAGTGACAGGGGATAAGATGGGGAACATTTATCATGAATTGCCCAGAGCATCAGGCCGAGGAGATAGGATGCTTTTTGCCAGGACTGTTGCTGGATTTTGAGTGCGGGAGACATGTAAATGGTGTTTTAAGGATAAGCAATCCAGCCTTGGTGTGTAGGATGGATAACAAGAGTCTAGAAGCAGGGAAGTCAGGTAGGGATGTAACAGTCCAAGACAAGGGGTAGAGAGAGCCTGGACTAAGATGGTGACTGGCAATAGAAAGAAATGGACACATTTGAAAAAGATAAACAAAGTCAGAATGAAGTATAGTGGATAAAGTTATGATCTTGGAGACAAGAAGACCTGAGATCAAGTCCTCAAGTCATTTTTACCTCTCAGAAAGCTAGGTAACTTATATAAATCTGCACTGGTGAAATGAGTTTTGACACCAGGATTTCCCAACACTGAAAAAACCCCACAGATCTTGAACAACAACAAAAAAGGGAGGGGCAGCTAGGTGGCATGGTGAATAGAGCACCGGCCCTTAAGTCAGGAGGACCTGAGTTCAAATCCGGCCTCAGACCAAACACTTGACACTAACTGTGTGACCCTGGGCAAGTCACTTAACCCCAACTGCCAAAAAAACCCCCCCAAAACCAAACAACAACAACAACAACAACAAAGGGACCTCCTACATGTGTATGTGGGGGTGGAAAGGAGACACATGATATAAACCTAAGTCCAATGTTTCCAATCTGAGTAGCACTGACAAAATAAATGAAATACAGTGGGATAGCTGATTTGGGGAGAAAAGATTATTAATTTGATACAGTTGGAGGCTATGCTATTCAGTCAGGGTTGGGTGGGTAGATAGATCCCAGAAACCTTGAGTTGTGTGTGTGTGTGTTCCTGTGACGTATATATAAAGAGAGAGAGAGAGAGAGAGAGAGAGAGAGAGAGAGAGAGAGAGAGA